TAGTGTCCCAGAGATTTTGATATGTTGTGTCTATGTTCTCATTTACCTCTAAGAATTTTTAAAATCTCCTCTTTGATGTCTTTTGTAGCCCATTGTTCACTCAGTAGCATATTGTTTAGTCTCCAGGTGTTGGAGTAATTTTAATTTTTATTGTCATTGATTTCCAATTTCACTCCATTATGATCTGATAAAAAACATGTGTAGTATCTCTACTTTTTTTTTGTATTTGCTAAGAGTTGCTTTGTGGCATAGTATATGATCTATTTTAGAGAAGGATCCATGTGCTGCTGAGAAGAAAGTGTATCTGCTTGATGCAGGTTGAAATATTCTATATATGTCAGTTAAGTCTAAGTTATTGATTGTATCATTGAGTTTTATAGTTTCTTTATTCAACTTTTGTTTCAAAGATCTATCCAGTGGTGAGAGAGGTGTGTTAAAGTCACCCAAGATTATTGTGTGGTGATCAATTTGACTCTTGAACTTGAGAAGAATTTGTTTGATGAACATAGTTGAACCATTGTTTGGGGCATRTATATTTATGATTATTATGTCTTATTGGTGTATAGTTCCCTTGAGCAGTATGTAATGTCTGTCTTTATCCCTTTTGATTAACTTTGTCTTGAAGTCTACTTTATTTGATACAAGGATAGAAACCCCTGCTTGCTTCTACAGTCCATGTGAGTGATATGATTTTTCCCAATCTTTCACCTTCAGTCTATGTATGTCTTTTCTTAACAGATGAATCTCCTGGAAGCAAAATATTGTTGGGTCTTTTTTTTTTTTTAATTCAACCTGCTAACCTATGTCTTTTGATTGGTGAGTTTAAGCCATTAACATTCAGGGTTACTATTGAGACATGGTTTGTATTCCCAGCCATATTTGTTTATTTTTGTTATTTAACTTAACTTGATTTTCTTCTTTGATTAGTTTTTCCTTTAGGGTACTACCTTCCTCTGCTGATTTTCATTGTTATTTTTTGTTTCCTCTTCATGGAATATTTTTCCAAGGATGTTTTGTAGTGTCAGTTTTCTAGCTATAAATTCTTCTAACTTTTGTTTATCATGGAAGCTTTTTATTTCATCTTCAAATCTAAAGCTTAATTTTGCTGGATACAAGATTTCTTTCAGAGCTTGATTTATGTTGTTCCAGGGTCTTCTAGCTTTCAGGGTCTGTGATGAAAAATCTGCCAATATCCTAATTGGTGCTCCCCTATACGTAATCTTATTCCTTTCTCTAGTGGCTTTTAAAATTCTCTCCTAATTCTGTATGTTGGGCATTTTCATTATAATGTGCCTTGGTGTGGRTCTGTTGTGATTTTGTACATTTGGCATACTGTAGGCTTCTTGAATTTGGATTTCCAATTCATTCTTCATGTTTGGAAAGTTTTCTGATATTATGTCCTTGAATAGATTGTTCATTCCTTTGGTTTGGACCTCTATACCTTCCTCTATCCCAATAACTCTTAAATTTGGACTTTTTATGCTCTCCTATATTTCTTGAATGTTCTGTTCATGTGGTCTATGTTCTTTTCAAGATTATATATATTGTCTTCATTGTCTGATGTCCTGTCTTCCAAGTGGTCTACTTTGTTGGTGACGTTTTCATTTGAGCTTTTAATTTGGTTTATTATTTCTTTCATTTCAAGAATTTTGGTTTTTTTAAATACATATTTAGTTGTAGTTAGACACAATACCTTTATTTTAGTTATTTATTTTCTTTATGTGGTGCTGAGGATCGAACCCAGTGCCTCGTACATGCTAGGCAAGTGCTCTACCACTGAGCCACAACCCCAGCCCTGTTTTTTTTTTTTTTTTTAAAGAACCTCTATCTCCCTGTTGAGGTGATCTTTTGCTTCTTGAATTTGTTTATGTAGCTCCTTGTTGAAATGATCTTTCACTGCTTGTATTTACTTTCTTATATCTTCCTTGAGTTTACAGAACATTTTAACCACATACATCCTAAACTCCTTTTCTGTCCTTYCTCCTGCTGTGGCTGCCGATGATTCTAATGATGTGGTGTCTTCATTTGTTTGRGGCACTTTCTTCTCTTGTCTTTTCATGTTGCTCCTGTGTCTTCCTTTCCAGCTCTGTGGGTCTTGATTGTTATTGTGTTTTACCCTATAGGTTTGAGGTGCTCTTGTAGGGTTCCAAGACCTCTCTTTTGTGGGGAAGGACAATATTAACAGATCCCAATATCAACAATATACCACCTTTGAACAATTTGTTGTTATTAAGACATTTACAGTTTAGTCTCAATGTACAGAAATGTTAGATTCAATTATTATCTAAAATACAATCAGTAGTTTTGTAAAAAGGTTTACAGTTTCTTACGGTGGACAATAAACTGGGGGTGGGGCGTAGGACGGTTTGTTGAGGAGGTAGGATGTGAGGATTTAGAGTTAATATGTTGTAGGAAGTGTGAAGGAGAAATCTAGTGAAGAGGGTTAGTAGCAAGAGAATAGACAGGAAGTAATTTAGGGTAGGAAAGTACATGGGATGACAGTAGAGTACATAAAACAAACACACATGTATTTAGAAATACAGATGTCAAAACAGTAAAATTTGGAGGGGGAAAGAAAAATGAAAGAATAAAAAGGAAAAGAAAAAAAGGGCATATACAACAGCTCTATATTATATTATTCAGATGACTCAGTCCTCAAAGACCTAGTTCATGCAAACTTCTTGGTTTCACATATGTTAAGGATGTAAGGGCTGCAGGGATAGAAGAGAAAAAACAAACAAACAAACAAAACTCAAAGGAAGAAACCAGGGTTGTAGCTAGCTTTAGAGATCCATATCTTTCCCTGCTTCTCTCCCCATTCAGTAGGTGGGGTCCTCTGTTGTAAGGTGGTGTCTCTGCCCTCCAGGTGGTGGAGGTAACCAGGGTGGGAAGACTGGTCCTGGCGCAGGGTACCTGGATGTGGGGAGTGGCACCTGCCAGTCCCTGCAGGGAGACCGCACCTCACGGGTCTCTTTTGGGGACCGCTCATATGACTTGAGCAACCGGAACCATCTCCTTCTTTTAACTGGAGATTTCCCAGTTACTGGTCTGTTAGGCTCCAGACTTTAGCCCTCTCTCCCTCTCCCCTAGCAGTTCCCAATTGAGGAAACTCTCACCCCAGGGCTTCCATGGGCAGCTCCCTGGTTGCACCGCACACCTGTGTTGGGCAGCTACTGTGTTGGGTTACCGYCACTGGAGAGGGGGGAAGGTTGGAAACCTGGTACCTGGCCCCTGGAGATCGGATCTGGAAACTGCCCCCAGCTAATATGGCTAGAATGTTGAGCCAAGGTGGCGGCGGTCTGCTTTCAKCGCCCGGGTGTTGGTGAGGTGGGGGGAGCCCGGCGATGACCTTGTGCTTTGGTAGGCAGCAGCTGAGTGTCCTGTGTGGGAGCAGAGCTAAGTCTTGGCGATCTGCAGGTGTGTTGACAGGTGATTCTGCTAAGATGCTCGCAGAGCCTTGTGTGGGCTAGAACTTCCAGCTTTGGGTCCTGCTCCAACCAGGCGTCCTACTGGAACGCTGAGGCCCGGAGCCCTGCGGGGTCACAGCGCTGGTGATTTCCRCGGAGAGCAGCTGGATAGGGGTCCTCTAACACTCTCAGAGATGGAGTATTCCGACTAGGTGAGATCTGCAGGTGCASAGGCAAGGGGCACAGGGCGGCTCAATCCCTTCCCTCCGCCATGTTCCTACCAACCGTGTCCCTTGACCAGTTCTTGCAAGGGTTTTATCAGGGGCTCAGCCTGGAATCTGCCCATCTCCTGAGTCCTGAGATGGGACTTCCTGTCTATTCTCATCCTCCTGCAGGAGCCCAATGAGTCTGCTGGAACTAGTGCACAGGCCAGCTTTGATGCAGAGCTGGCTGACCTGCCTCAGGGGTGGGACAGTCAGGGAGGAAACGGCAGAGAGGGAAGGGAACAGGGCTACAGGACCTGGGCTGCGGGCCCAAAGTTCAGGGACTCCTCACCTCTCTCCACTTCTATAAAATACAGTCAAACCAGGTTACATGCTTATTCATGAACTCGGACTGGGAAAAAAGGAGATGTTTTTATTTTCACTAACCTTGAACTGAAATGGAGCATCTTCTGCAATTACATATGCAGTCACACTAACAATACTTGTATTTTATTTTTTCAAAATAAAAGCCAGATTTTTTTTTCTATCATATACAGTTGCTGCTACCTCAGGATGTCATTTACCTCCTCATTACTTCAGTGATCAGTAGTTCCTGGGGATTTCCTGTCATGTTTGATCTAAGAGCACATGCATTCTTAAATCACAATTGTTTTGATTTTGGTGACTATCTCGTTATACTTGTTTTCATCTGTAATTTCTATGCATGTTACTTTATGTATTTAAAAGCCTTATTCTGAGAAGGAGGCTATCCATTACCTTCACAGGACTGCTAAAAGAGTCTAGAGTTCAAAAAAGTAAAAAAATAAAAAGCAACAGGGCGAGATCAGAGTAGATCTCTCAGGTGCCATTGCTCTGAAGTGGTAGGTTCATTTTGGCACCCCCAGCAGAGGGGTTATGCCACCCCATACCACCTTAGCACCAGTCATTCATAGTCATTCACTAAACAGAGTACCTTAGTAAGCACCTGCTACCCCTCAGGCCCGGTTGCAGTGAAAGCAGTTGCTCCTACTATGAACTGAGCACCTACTTGTACAGTAACGGTGTGGGGAGAGCCCCATATTGGCGAGTCCCTGACCTGATGAATGAGGCAGAAGCCCTACCCTTAGGGAGTTGCTAGGGGCACTCTCACCCCTCCTCTGTTGGAGGGGACAGAGCCCCCATTGAGCTTGGGTTGACTGCATCAAGAAGGATCAAAGGCTGCACTAGAGAAGTCAAAGATCCAAGTCCAGTGCTATGGTTGCTACTTTGGTCCTGAGGAAGGACATTCAAACTGGGACTCAAACCACTGAGGCCCAGTGGCAATGCTTCCAGTGAGACAAGCCCTGCTCCCTTCTGGAGGCCAGCACAGACACCTCCCTCTCTCCCTCAGACACCATCGAGCTCCACATCCGGTCCCAAGGCCAGTGGACAAACAGGCTGTATGAGTCTTTCAAGGTGTCAGACCCCGTGGGCTGTGATTCCAAGAGGCTCTCAAGGAGCTTGAGGATGAGAAGGAGTCAGAGGAGACCCCAGGTAGGTGGCTGCAAGGGCCCTCTATGGAGGCAGACCCTGGGGACCAAGTCACTTTCTTCCTGGTCAGCAGGAGCAGCTGTTGTGCACACAGTCTGGACGGCAGCATCAGTGGGCTAGGCAATGGCTGACTGTGTGGTCCCAGAGCCTCTTCGAAGCCTGACCACCTCAGATCCTTCCATCCTGATTTCCTGCATTAGAAAGGGTGGGGAGCAGTGGAAGGAGTGGGGAAACTGAGACCAGAAACATTCTGACCTCCAAGTCTCTTGGACAGTACTTTCTAATTGCATGGTCCTTGTCTTGTCTGTCAACCTAACTGAGCCTGTTATTTTTCTTTGAAATGGAGATAGTTTTCCTCCATGGCTCACCCTTCTCATCTTATCCCATCAAGCACTGACCCAAAGAATGCAGATGGAGTATTGAGGGAAATGGCAGCATGGTCCAGGTGGGCCCCTGGGTCATCGTCACCACCAGCAGTAACAGCACTGTTACCTCTGGAGCCTTGATGAAGCCCATAAAGCTGCCAGGTGGCTAGTGCCAGGGAGGGTTTGGAGAAACAGCGTCTGTGCACAGTGGCCCACATGCCTGTCATCCCAGGGACTTGGGAGCCTGAGGCAAGTTCAAGGCCAGCCAGGGCAACATAGTAAGACCCTGTCTCAAAATAAAAAATGAAATGACCTGGGGATGTTGCTCAACAATGGAGTCTCCTGGATTCAATCCCTAGTACTGGGGGTGGGGGGAGAGAGGAATGCAGATGGATCAGAGCAGCTCCCAGAGAAATAAGGATAGACCAGGAAGCTGAGGGTAGCTGAACATGAGACTCTGCCTCTTGGCCTGAAGACTAGTTAATATATCTGAAGGTCAAAGGAGGAGGACTCACTGGTCCCCGCAGGTCCCAGCCCTGCCTTCAACATGGGTGCTGGGGGAGTGAGGGCACCAGGGAGAATCCTGTCTGGCCAGAGGAAAGGATCATTCCAGAATGATGCCAAAAGCAAAACTGTGGGATGTGGAGGAAAATGTAGAAAAAAAGAAAAGTTCTCTTCCAGTAATCAGAGGAAACTTCCTGAAGGAAGAAGCTGACTTGCAAACCGGATGAGCCATGGCACACTGGGAACCAGCAGGTTGTTTCCGTGGGACCTCAGACCCTGCTGCCACAGAATAAATTGGCACAGTCTTTCTGGCAGGCAGTCTGGCCATATGTGTCAGCATTTTAAATATGCATACCCACTGGCCCAGCAATTCCATTTTTAGAGATTTATGCTAAAAAGCTAATTGGACAGGTGCACAAAAAGCCCTGTTCATTTCTTTAGCAAATATTTACTGAGCGCAGCACCTACTATTCTCCAGGTTCTGTTCTAGATGCTAGAGATATGTCGGTAGGCAAAAGAGACAGCACTGCTGACCTTCTGGTGCAGAGGCCTTCGATGAACAGATGAAATGCACATGTAACATGTCCGGCGACGACAAATGCTATGCAGAGAAGTCAACTAGGGTCTAGGGATAATGACAGGAAATGTGCTATTCCACATCGCATGGTCGCTCATGATAATGAGAAAATGAAGACAGTCAGAAGGCCCAGCAACAGAAGGCAGCCAGGGAAATTACTGATCACCCTCATAATGGAGTAGTAAGTTGCCTAAGAAAGATTATGGAAATTTCAACTTGTTAGTATGGAAAGCTAGTCAGAGTGTAGAAGTGGGAAAGACAGGTTGCAAAGCAGGATGCTCCATTGGTATAAAATAAGTGTGTGTGTGCATGTGTGTGCAGGTGTGTGTCTGTGTGTGTGTGGGTATGGGTGCCCATACACATGTGTATGTTAGAAAAAAATGTCTAGGGGCTAGGGTTGTGGCTCAGCGATAGAGCACTTGCCTAGCACATGCAAGGCCCTGGGTTCGATCCTCAGCACCACATAAAAACAATAAATAAAATAAAGGTATAGTGTCCAACTACAACTAAAAAATATTTTTTTTTTAAAGAAAAGAGTGTCTAAAGAGCAGAGAAAATGTTTATGGTAGCTGTCATCCTGTACTTTTTCATTTTATTGTTTAATTATTTCTGTAATATGTGATGTTTTTACAACTAACAGGAATTGACTCTGTAATATTAAAGCAATTTCTGTTTTGAAACAAAACAGGATTTGCAACCACAGCCCAGCCACTCCTGTACCTCAGCACAGGATGCTGAGTCCTCCAGCAAGAATGTCGCTATGGAGCTGATATCCTACGGGACTGAGGAACCACAGTGCCAGGGGGACAAAGACCAGGACCCCATAAAGGCTGAAGAAGGGACCCCAGCATGGTGGGGAGCCTCTTCTCAGGGCAGGGACCTGGTAAGGCCGGGGAAGTGGAGGCTGACATGTGTGCCCAGGGGTGCTGGGTCTTGGCCTGGCATCCTTGGCTTCAGGGCAAGCCCACTCTCAGGCAGAMCCCACATGGAGTGGGGTTTCTGCAGCCAACCATCTGCCTCCACCCTTGTAACTGTTGCCACATTCACAGCTCATTAGCAATATTTTCTACTTAATATTCTCTTACATCACCACAGTACTCTAAATTGTATTTAAAAAGACTCCTTAGATTGCTATCTTTAATGGAAAATCAGTATTGTGTGCCATAAACATGCTAACTCTAAAGTAAAAACAGTGAAAACATGGTATTAAATTCTTCTCGATGTTTCTGCCTGTTGAGGCTCTGCCCACTGGCCTGCTCCCTGCAGGTACACACTCCCTCTCTCACTTTCACTTTTCCCTTCTCACTTTGTTAAAAGAAAACAGAGAGGGGTCCRGGAGAGGTCTATCAGCACTCTAAGAAATTAGTCTTAAGGAGCTGTTAAAGATGTGTTGGCCAGGATTGAAGTCTTTCTCTTTGCCATCAGAAGGATTAGAGAAAATTGAAAGGGGAGCAGCCCTCTCCCAGGTACCTCCTAAACCCCCACAAGCAGTTTATGTCCAACACTAAGCAGTCCCCACCCYAAGATGAAGAAGCAGCATGGTGTAATGTGACACAGGATGGGTCACAGGAGACCCAGACTCTACGTGGAACTCTGGGGAACTGGGCAGTCCTTTCCACGCCCTCAGCCTCAACTCCTCTGAGGGAGGTATCATAGGCTCCWGCAGCCTGTTCTGCATTCTGCTTCCTCCACCTTCTAGAAGCAAGGGTGTTGACCTGCATGTGTGTCTGGCCGTCTACCTGTGCTGGGTCTGGAGTAGTCAGGCACTGCAGGCAGAGCCCGACCCCACCCAGAGGGCCGGCACCAGCCCCAGGGCAGAGCCCCAGGCCCTCGGTGCCTTTCTTTCTTAAAGCATCAGGGCAAAGCCTCAAAGAGGAGATGTGGCTTCAAATGAGCTGGACAGGGACCAAGGCACAGGGATTTGACAGCCAGGGAAGAGCAAAGGGGCTCTAGGCAGAGGGAAAAGAACATTCCATCTCAGACATGAGAACATGCAGCTAAAGGTGTGATTGAGTCTTCCCCAGCCTTGCTCTGGAGCTGACTCACACTGAACCCTACAAGTTGATTGTTAAATGCTCCGTTTTGTGAGCTAGTTATTAAACATGGTCATATGTTGGGAGCTATGATGGCAGTGCAGTTGTCCCTCAGTGTCCAAGGGGGATGGGTTCCAGGACCCTCCTGGGTACTAAAATCTGCTGAAGCCCATAAATAAAATCATGTGGACTTTGCAACCTACGTACATCTTCCCATATACTTTAAATGGACATTTACATATGTTAATAGTTGTTATACTATATTGTTTAGGGAATAATAACAAGAAAAAATTCTATACATGTTTACTACAGGCACAATTTCCCCCAAAATATTATCAATCTACAGTGGGCTGAGTCTGTGTTCTGTAGACCCTACGGATACARAGGGCCGATGGTATTTAGGCCACAGAAATGGACATATGCTAATCTCTTGGTGATTGAGATCCCCCTGCCCCCGGCCAGGAGCCAGTTTACCAGCACCCTGCTGATATTCCTTCTTAAAAAGGATCCAGGATCCTGAAATGGTTTGGACAGAAAAAGCAATTCCCTTTCAATACAGTTGCTCAGACTGGCAAGGGCTTGCAAGCTTCTAAGAAATGCCCAGCGCTGTCGGTTCCCAGACTCAGCTTTCTGCTCTACTCCCTGCAGGCTTCTGAGACGTCCTCTGAGAACCATCAATTCTGTAACATCAAGGTAAGAGGCTCCAGGAAGTGGATGTGGTGGAGACCTCCTTCCCCCTCTGAGGAAATGCCGTCTTTGCCTTTGTGAGGAGGTTACTTTGGTTCTTGATCCCTCCGTTCCTCTAATCCCCGGGGYTTTGACTTCCAGGTATCCAGACTATTTAACCAAACCCTCCTCCTGTTCTTAAACCCAGGGGTGGCCTATCTTGCCTGTTTCTTCTCCAGGATCAGGGATGGTGGGGGGGGGGGCTCTGTGCACTCTCTCCCTGCCTCCCTGGCACCCACAACACACACCCTGGAAGTGACAGGGGCTCAGCAGGGATGCTGGTTGGTCACCAGCTCTGCATCCTAACATTCTAGGGCTTTCTCCAGAAGTGTGCTGCGAGCTCAGCCTCTGGAAAGAGGGCTGGAGTAGGAGCCGCTGAGACCTGGGCTCGAGCCTAGGAGATGATTGACTGCCTATGTATAAAGKGTGCTGAGGCCCTGGGGACCTTCCTCCAGACGGGGGAGTGCAGCTCTCCCCACAGTCCTCTTTCCTCTCACCCCCTGTGACAGTGCTACGTCGATGGCCCTTATGGAACCTCCACCCGCAGGATCTTTGCCTCGGAGCACGCCGTGCTCATTGGGGCAGGTATCGGCATCACCCCCTTTGCCTCCATCCTGCAGAGCATCATGCACAGGTGGGTGCACAGGGTATGGCCCTGCCCACACCCTGGGCCTGTCCTGACAGAGYCCCCCCTGGATGCTCCCACTTTCTAACCCCTCCTTTCACCTCTCCCCCTCCCCTCTTCTCTTCCCTCTCCTCCTTGTCCTCTGCCTTATTTTGTTTCTCATCTCCCCTTCCTCATCGGGTGGGCTCTACCTCCCCATCCTTACTTCCTACCTTCTACACTATTCTCCAGGGTCCTGAAAATTCTCAATTACCCCCCAAATTAAAAACCCCCTCCTCCTGCTTCCCCTCAGGCACCAAAAGAGAAAGCACGTTTGCCCCAGCTGCCAGCACTCCTGGATGGAGGGCCTCCAGGACCACGACATGAAGCTGCACAAGGTGGGTGCCACCTCCCGCAGGCAGACCTCCGGACCTTCTCCCCAACACCTCCCGGAGCAGGAGCCAGTGCTCCTGTGCAGAGGCAGGGAGGGATACCCTACCTCTCCTCTGCTGGGACCCCCTTGTTCCTTCCAAGTTGTTCTTTCTCTTTTTTTTCCCTCCAAAATGCCAGCTCTCCTGGTCCCTCCTAAATGTCCAGGCCTCTGCCATCAACATGCCTGTCACTTCTGAGAGCCTGCTGGGCCCTGAAAAGAAGCACCTTCAGGGACCCAGCTCCAAGCCTCATGCTTACCCTCCGTGACCCAGTGGTGGTTTTCAGAGATGAAAACATGTTTGACTTTTGGAAAGTCATTATTGTGCACAGGGAACGAAACAGTAATTTTGCACAGCTGTCTTTCCCAAGCTGATATCTCAGAACACTGCTTACAAAGACAAACTCTAGCTTTGGAGTCAGGAACCTGGGTCCTGGTCCTGCTGTTCTGGAAACTGGGCGAGTCTCTTTACTTCTGTGTGTCTGTCTTCCCTTCTGACCATGTGTAGACACTGGGGGTCCTCAGGGCCCGGGGACCACAGATGTGAGCATGCTGTGAATGAGGGAGACCCTCCTCTGAGCCAAAGACCCTCTCTCTAGGTGGATTTCATCTGGATCAACCGAGACCAGAGGTCTTTTGAGTGGTTCGTGAGCCTGCTGACCAAACTGGAGATGGACCAGGCCCAGGAGGCACAAGACGGTAGGAGAGGGACAGGTCCTGCAGCCTGTGGGGAGGGACTGGGGAGTCAAGGTCTCTTTTTTAAAAATAATCTATTGAGGTAAAGTTCACATACCATAAAATGAACCATTTTAATATGAACTCAGTGTCTTTTTAAAAAGTATTTGTTCCATTTCTATGAAAGATGGGGAAGGTCAACTATAGTTTAATATTTTGTAAAGTTTTTTTTTTTAAGCAAAAAAAAAAAAAAAAGGAAAATGAGCCAGGCACAGTGGTGCACACCTGTAATCCCAGTGGCTCAGAAGCCTGAGGCAGGAGAATCACAAGTTCAAAGCCAGCCTCGGAGACTTAGCGAGGCCCTAAACAACTCAGTGAGACCCTTCTCTAAATAAAATACAAAAAAGGGCTGGGGATGTGGCCCAGTGGTTWAGMRSCCCTGAGTTCAATCCCTGTACCAAAAAAAAGGGAGGGGAATCACTCATAATTCCATCCCGTGGTCCAGATTACTCTAAACATATTAAAGAATTTTTTCCAAGTTTTTCTTTTCTTTTTCACATTTTATAAAAATGTATATTCTTTATTTTCATAACAGCTCTTTTTTATGATGTCTTTTAATTTAGAATGGGCACTTTTTAAATTTTAGATCTCCAGGCCCCACCTTGACCTTCTAGTTCAGCTCCCCTGAGAGCAGAGCTCATGGATACACATTCCATCATGCTTCTAAGAAGAAGAATGATGGAATTGTTTTTTGGATTGTTTTTTTGAGGCATCATTTGCATACAATAAAATTAGAAAAATCTTTTGTACAATAAATACAATGACATTTTAACATAGGCATACGGTGTGTTACCACCAYTACAACCAAATTATGGAACATTTTCATTACCCAAAAGGTTTTTCCCATCCCCAYCCCATGTTGACAGTCAGCATCCTCCCCTGATCGTTAGCCCTGGCAATCCCCAATTTGCTTTCTATCCTGACAATCTGGCCTTTTCAGATTTCATATGCATGGAATCRTATGAATGTCCACTTCTACTTATCATAGCACCTTGGGAATTATCCTCATTGTTGCAGGTATCCATAAACAGTTGAATTCGTTTTTATTGCTGAATAGTATTCCATTTTACAAATATGCTACAATTTGTCTTTCCTTTCACTTGTTGATGGACAGTAGAATTATTTCCATTTTTTGATTATTTTGACACAAGTTTTTTGTTTGGATCTTTATCTACATGTCTGTCAGGTAAATATTTAGGAGTGGGTTTGTTGAGTATTGTGGTAAGTATTAAGCTCAATAGTGTAAATATCGATGAGCTACTTTTCCAAAGCAAGTATTCCATTCTACATTTTCATCAGAAGTGAATGAGAGTTCCCGGTGCTCCACATCGTCATCAGCATTTTTTTGTTTCAGCCTTTCTAGTGGATGTGAGTGATCTAATGTGCTCTTCTGCATTTCCCTAGTGACTAGTGATGCTGAACATCTTCTTGTGGGCTTGTTATTTCATGTTCTTTGTGGGTTTTTTATTGGTGTGTAATAATTACACATAAAAGTGGGATTCTTTGTGTCATATTTGTACACATACAGAAGTTTTTGGCTTATTTCATTTCCCAGTACTCTCCTTTTTCTTTCCCTTCTTCCTCCCCTCGATTCCCTTCTACTTGACTGGTCTGCTTTCTATTTTTGTGAAATCCCCCCCCCTTTTTTTTTAATCCCTCTTTTTTTCTCTAGCTGTTACATGTTCTTTGTGAGGTGTCTGTTCAAGTATTTTTCCCAGTTTTACATCCAGATGTTTGTCTTCTTTTTACTTAGTTGTCAGCACTCTTTATATATTCTGGAAACAAATCCATTATTCGATGGATGTTTTACAAAACATTGTCTTTTYATTGTCTTAAACTGTCTTTTGAAGAACAAATTTACTTTTTAATGATGCCCAATTTATCAATCTTTTCTTTTATTTCTCTTCTTTTTGTGTTATATTTAAAATCTTTAGGTCACTCGAAGACATGAGAATTTTCTCCAGTGTTTTCTTCTATATATTTTTGTAGTTCAGTTCTTCATTTAAGTTAGAATTTCTCAGTTTTGGCACTATTGACATTTTGGGCCAAATCATTTCTTATTATATGCATAATTCCTATACATCTTAGGATTTTAGCAACTTTTCAACCTCTGTTCACTAGAAGACAGTAGTACCCTATCCCTGTCATGATAATATAAAATACCTCCAGATATTATCAAATATCTGAGGRAGCAAAATTGCCTTCTTTTTAGAAGCACTTATTTAGATAATTATCCATTCAAAATCAATTTTGTATAGGATGAGAGTGAAAGGTAGAAGTTAATTTTTACATATGAATACTCAGTTAATTTTTTTCCAAGGATTTCTAGTCTCACTCCAAGAACCAGAGACAAAGGCCAAAGTCTTCATTGCACAACAGAGGTGGATACATAGTAAGGATCTTTATGACTTCTTGATGAATTGACCACCTTCTCATTATATAATATCCTTCATCTCTGATAATATACCTTGTTCTGAAGTCTATTTTTTTYYKRAAWYMAWKGRRSCMWT